TTTCAAACTGAAATGCAACTAGAAGGCCTTAAAAGCTGGGAGAAGTGTTTCACATTGGTGTTCCTTGGTTTAAAAAAAAAGATTTTTGGTGATGATGTGGGTTTCAACTCTCCACTCCTTCCAACTCCGTTAGTAATGTGCCGTGCTGGTGGGGAAGGAATGTCAAAGGCAGATCAGGCTGGTGGCCGTGTGGCTTTGCAGTGGGGTAGGTTGACCATGAATGGAGGCCAGAGTTTAAAATCTTTCTTTGCCCCTGGAGGTGTGACATGGCCATCCACCCAGACGTGGCAGGGTGGGGTTCTATGTGCTAGTGCACAGCTGGGATCTGTGGCCCTGCAGAGGGTTGATATGTTTGTGGCTTTAGTGTGGTGACACCCATCCGCCCTTGCAGCAAGGGCTTTTCAGGGTGACAGAGCATTGCTTGTTCCTCATGAGAGGAAAGTCCTGACCTGGTTTCTGTGAGGAGATGGTGTGAAGTGTCACATTTGCTGCAGTGAGTGGTAGGGAACAGGGATAAAAGCATGGAGCAAGCTGTGTTTGAGAACAAGCTAATCCATTGCTGGCTGCCTGAAACTGGAGAGCTGCTGGATCTGCTCCCTGGACAATGCTTTCCAGCTCTTCTCTCCCCAAACCCGCCAAAGCACTCCCCTCCCCTGAACTCCTCACATCATTTTGGTCCCCTCCCTGCTGGGTGCCATGGGCCAGCCATGAAATTCCAGCAGATGCATGATGACCACAGGCATGCTGGTGGCCAGACCTCACTATACCCTGCCTGTGCACAGCCTCCCAGCAGTGCTCCCTGCCCTGGCGTGCCCACTGCTTGCTTGCTGCAGAGCAGCCGCAGCACATCCTGGCATCACTTTGGCATCACTCTCTGCTTTCCCAGAGAATTTCGCTGCACCTCTCCTAAGTCAGAAAACAGGAGGCCTTGATGTTTTGGTGGTCCTGGTCTCCAGACCAGGGAGGAGAGGAGAGGCAGGTCAGCTGTTGTGGCAGTGCAGGACCAGGGGACCGCATCATGGTGAAAGGAGCATATCTGCTGGAGAAATCTCCAAACATGGGTTCTGTGCTTCTCCACTGGGGCTGAGGGCAGCTAACAGAGAGCAGAATAGGATGGGAATGCTCAGCAAGACATGGAAGGATGAGAGCTGGTTGAGAACAGCTGTAAAAGGCTTTGCAAAGGTGGTGTTTTTTGCAGGAGACAGAAGGCAAAATGGGGCAGGAGGATGCGGTGCTGGAGCAACGGTGCTGCAAGGCAGGGAGGGTGGGGGGAAAATGGAGCAGGGAATTTGATAGAGAAGCTCGGGAATGCAGTGGGCTTTCGAAACAGTCTATGCATGCTCTGGCTGAGGAGAAAGGCAGGATGTATTTCTGAGCTGAGGTGCCCAGGCCATGTCTCACTGCATTGTTGTTGGAGCAGCAGTGTCGCCTCCAAGCCCAGCACTGACAGCCTGAGCTCGTGTCATCAACCACAACGGCTAACTCAGCCACAAGGTGTAAATGTCACTAATGAATAAATTGCCTTGTGCCTTGGAGAGGCTAATCCATCACGGCCAGAGACAGGATCTGACAAACCTGGCTATTTCAGGCATACCCTGTAGGGAGGAGGAACACTTCGTTTCTGAGCCGTCCAGAAACGTCTCCACCTAGGGAAGTCGATGCAGGGCTTGGCTCTGTGCCACTTCCCATCTTCCCGGCCACATGAGCTCAGGCTTCATCCCTCTTCACTGCAACTGAAGAAGCATGAAAGGATCTAGATTAGCCAAAAGTGCCCTGTCAGCAGAGTGGTACGTGGGGTAGCTGGTAATTGAGTTTGGAGGGAAGCTGCTGGACACAGGGCACGGGTGCTGTAGGGGTGATGGAATACAGTGGTGGGTCCTCAGTGACTGGGACGCTTGTGTTAATTTTCTCGGTGTGTTTCAGGTCAGGAGTGCTTGGCAGTATGTTTTAGAAGTGTGATGTTTCCTCCTCACCCCACTGTGCTGTCCCAGAGGCAGTGCATAGGACCCCCATTTTCAGGTCACCCTGTGCTGTTGAACCCCAGCCACCAGCATCTTGGCTGGTGCAGAGGGCCAGCAGGTACCAAATGGGCAGGGACAGCTCAGCCTAGACAAATCCAGCTCCATAGGAGCCAAGGGAAGCTCAACACAGCAACCCTTTCTGTGCACAGCCTCTGCTCATCGTTGTGGCAGCCTGCTCCTCCTCCCCACGTTGGTGCTCAAAATCAACCTGCTGCCCTGTTTGTGACATATGCCAGTGTGACACCTTGCAAATTGATGCCTGGGTCTCTGAGCAGAAGCCGCCAGGCTTGGGAAGCTGGCCACTGTCTCCTGCTGCCGTGTGCGCTCTGCTCAGAGCAGCAGAAGCCGGGCTCGCCATCTGCTGTGGGAGGGAGCCAGCCGGGTGTCCCTGCTCCAGCCTGATGGGATACCCGCCTGAGAGCAAGCCCTCGTGGCATTCCCCCTTCTTTACCTTCTGGCCACCCCTATCTCTCACCATCTCTCATGGGTGAGGAGATGCTCCCAGCTTGACTCTGCTGAGTGCTGCTGGTGCTGCATTGGTGGGTGATGGCAGTGCCCAAGCTCATTCTCTCCTCCAGATGGAGACCCACAAATGACCCCCCCTCCTCAAAGCCTGACAGTACTCCTTGGAGATAGATCTCATGGGAGAGCTAAGGTATCTGTTCTGGCCCTGCACTCAGCACAGTGACCAGCCAGTGACTCACCCTGGGGTAGCTGGACCTGGAGCTGACAAGTGACCCACCAACAGCAGGAATGTTCACACTCCAACAATCTGCTGTTGCTGTCTGGCCAGAGTGTGTGACATTTGAAATTATTTCAACCCTTGGCAGATAGTTGACTGTTGGTTTTGGCTGTGGGCAAGTGGTGCAAGCTGCTTGGTTTGAACTTTGGTTTTTTGGCCAAGAGATTGATGGGAGAGAGAGCAAAGAGTTTCTCCAGGAAACAGCTACCTGTCCAGGCATTCCTGCGTGTGGCAGCCCAGGAGTGGGTTTGAAGGGTGCTTAAGCTTGCTAAGAGTCTCAGCTGTTAGTAAGAAAATGAGCAGTGAATATTCTGGAAAGCAAGTTAGAAGTTTTTCTGGTGATGACATGTTTTCCCAGGCCCTTTTCTTTCCGTCCCTTGTCCTCACTGGCTCTGGTGGCCAGTTCCTCCTCATGTGTCTGCTAGCATGTCTGCAGGATCTCATTGCTGCCCACCAAGCATGAGCTTTCATTGCACAACTGGCTGACCAGCTGCAGCCCTGTCCTTGGAGCTACAGGCAGGCTTGCCTAGGACCAGGCCACCCCCATTAAACACCCACCCTTGCTGCTGGAGCTGTTGCTTCATCAGCCTGATGCTGATCTGGGTCTTTTCTGCTGTTTCTGAACATGAGTTCTCATCTCATTGAGGTGTGTCATCCAGTGAAAATATTTTGTAAATGCAAATAAAAATAAATAAGTATATTCAATACCTCGGTCTCGAGGATGGGAAACAAGTAGTGGGAGACGCCCAGGTAGGGAGGTTTCACAGCTGCTACTGTTGGTTAGGAATTCTTCTGGACGTAGCCGCTGGAGCATCCATCAATCGTTGGGAAGGGAGCTACACAAACCTGTGAGGGCTTGGGGCTGAGCCCTGTCAGCACCCCTTGTGTGGCCCCTGCTGTCAGGGCAGCCTCGCACTCCATCCTTTCTGATCTATATGGGCGTGGCACGGTGCAGGTGAAGGTCCTGTTGGCCAGGGGCCAGTGGCACCGTCGGTGTCTGTATCCATCAGGCAGGGCAAGGCAGAAGCGGGTACGTGGTGAATAAATTCTTTTGTGAACACTGGGAAACGGTTTTTACTTTTCAACTCTGTCAATATGATCTAGCTCTGTCTGTCTCTCGATATATGTACAAACAGTATATCACAATGTTGCCTTTTTTGTTGGAAATATCAAAGTACAAAGATTGTAAACCAAATCGGTGTAATAAAAGTTTCAGATGATTCACTGAGGTGGTTGCCAGCAGTGGGTCTGTGAGCACTGGTATTGGGCAGGGCTGGGAGGCATGGGAAGCTCCTGCATTGCTCAGAGGATGGGAGGGGATGGAAGTCAACCCACTTGCTTAATTCCCTGATATCTCCTAAGCCAGGTGGTCAATGGAGCAACTCACTCAAGGATGTGCCTTGTCCCATCCTCAGGTGATTAGAGCCTCTAGAGCAAAAAGAAGCTGCTTCATTTTGCTCCAAGTCCAAGGAAGCTGCACTGTTTTCAAACTTGTGAGCTATGTGGGCCAGCAGTCGTGAAAGGACGCCTCTAGCTTGAAATCTATGCAAAACACAGATTGTTTTTGACTGATTTGCACTACTAGGTAAGGAAGCATCTGGTTGTAAAGAATTCACCTGTTGCAAAGCAGGCTAGCACTGATCAAAAGCAGAGCAACCCAAAACAGGAAATCATGGTGGTGAGACCTCTTGATTTATTGAATTTATTTCTATTTACTTTTCACCACCCATATCAGACTCCAGACAGATTTTACTATAAATACAAATAGATTATCGAGCTGAGCAAGAGCCAGAAAGAGCTGCTGAGGAACGAGAAACAGTATTCCCTCAATCCTCTATGCCTCTCACATCCTCCTCAGCAAAACCTTAAAGTTAGGTCTGGACTAGACCATTAAGGTGGCAGAGACTTCATCTTAGCCGCTTTACAGGTGAAACAATATTCAGTTGCCTGAATTAATCTTGCTGCTGGAGCATATAAAAGCATCACAGGAGGTGAGATTTAGGGTGCAGTGAGAGAGAGGGCTTAAGAGGCAGATTGCTCTGTGGTGCCACTACAGTGCAATCACTACAGATGTTGAGATCTAATGTCTGTCTCCAATTAAGTTACAGGTTGGATGATGGGGTCTGGGAAAGGCTGTGGTGGCAGCCACAAGTTAAGTGTTTCTCAGAAAAGCAAATAAAACCAAGACCCTGAATTAAAAGACTGTACACCCAAAGATCATTGCTCCCTGGAGAACTTTATTCAGAGGGGTGCTGCAGAGATCCCCTCCTCACCGCTTCCCGATTGGCCCACACAATTTCGTGAATGAGGAAATCAGTCTCCTGTTCCACCTCTGCATGCCGGAGATCGAGCTCGGTCAAAGTCTTGTTGTTTGCCAGCCCTTCCAGCAGCTTCTTCCCACCATCCTGGAAAAGGATGAGAGGGCGTGGTTAAAGGAGGACATCCAAAACAGAACTGTGTTGCTCCTTTTCCCTCCTCCCCAGGGCAATTTCTGCTGCTTCAGTGGCAGTCCATGAGATGGTGCCGAAAGGGATAAAGGCCTCCACCCAGGTCCAAAATGTTGCTCACAGGAGAAGTGCAGAGGAGGAGTGTAACCTTATGCAGCTCTCTGTGATATGACACATGCTAATGACTCCCTCTGGGTACCATGTCAGGAGTTCTCAAGCTCATGCTGGTTAATAACACATCTGGCAATAATAATAACCTGAGAGGAGTCTGCTCTCCCTTTACCCTGGTTCCCAGCTTAATGCTGGCTGGGAACAAATGGATTAGAGTCCTCTTCCTCATCTTGGCAGTAATGAGAGCCCCAGAACTAGCAGTTTTCTGTCTGGATACCATTTCCCAGGCTGGGTTGGCTTTCCTAAGGGGAATATCTCATGTAACTAAAGACCAGCCTGCATGAGACAGAAAATGTGATGTAGCCTTAGGGAGGCAACCCGCTCTGAGCCATTTCTCCCCCACACCTGAAGCACTGTGTTTAGGGATGTGACAACTTGAACTTTTTTCTGCTGTTGCTATTCCCTTTCACATACCAAATACACCTCCTGGCCCTTCTGCTCCATCCAGATGGTCCCCTCATCCCAAAACCGTGCCTCTTAGCCCTTTTGCCAAAAATGGCAGAGCAGAAAGGACTGGGAAGAGGTCTCTTTTTAATGGGGTACAGAGGTGAGAATTGAACGCATCTCTAGCAAAACCTCCAATTTTCCCTTTTGGGCTGCCGTGGAACTTCACAAATGGGTAACAGGAGAGCTCGTCAGAAGGAAGATACTAAGCACAGAGATTATTATTTACTAAACAAAAGTCCTTCTATCCTTTCCAACCTTTACCTCCTTGTATCATTAAACTCAAATGGTTTTCCACATCCAGGACCATAAAACTCAGAACTCACAAAAGGTTTTCTGCCATCAAATCCTTTTAAAACCCTTGTCAAACATCGATGCCAATATTCCTGCCAGCAGGGACAGCTGGTCTTGCTGTCTCTTTATTTGACAGTGAGAATAATTGAGGCAGCGCAGAAAGTTTAAAAGCCAGCATGATTGCTTTTGGCTGTCTAGTTTCAGATTTCTAAAGCTCTTTTTAATCAGCAGAAGAAGAGCGGTCTGGTTTGTGGGCATGTTGCATACTGCAGCTCTTAGGGATGTAGTGAGATCTGTGGATGCTCTTCTGTCTAGAAAATGTAAGCTTATGTTTTAGGAGCCACTTAAAAGCACACAGACATGACACTCCTGACCCACCGCAGTGCTCCTGGGCTGCAGGGTGAATTAAAGAAGCCCAACAGCCAAGCCAGTTTTCTAACAGTCTCCTCTGAGCATGTGATGGACAGGAGAAATTCTGGGAAGGGTGACTCTATCTGTGCTGCTGAGTGACAGATGGCACAGCAGATCCAAAGCACAGAGGATATGCATGAGACCCTCATCTCATGCCGCCTATCATTAACTACGCTCACGTGTGCGAAACGTCTGTGATTTTTCCCAGACATGATTCCTGATTTTCAGTATCCTGGGGGGAAAAATCCCTCCCTGCCCAAAAGTCCAAAGTCTCAAAGACAGATTTAGATGTAGCAAGTAAATGGTAATGTAAATGCATGTTCATGCAGAGAAGGTGTCCTTCCCTTTCCTGACATCTGCTACAGTCTCTTCCCTGCTCACACTGATTGTTATCATAACAAGAATGCAAAGTGAGAGATGCAATTGCCTCTGTGGCTTTGAGACAGGCTCAGGATCTGCTTTGCAAGGCCACCACGCAGGTTCACAGACTGCAGGGAGCAGAGGCTTCTCTTACCAGCCTCAGGTGGTTGCATGAGAAGTTGATGCTCCTCAGAGTGGTGTTCTGAGCCAGCACCTGGGAGAACACTGCTGCGGTGGGCTCTGACAGGTTATTACTTCCCAGATGGAGGGACCTCAGGCTGCTGTTGGTCAGCAGGGCACGGCCAATTGCCTCCCCGCCTTTGTCCTCCACGAAGTTGAGGCGCAGATTCAGGGAGGTCAGGGTGGAGCTCTCAGCCAGGCCTTGAGCAAGAGCCTGAGCCCCCAGGTGACAGATCTGGTTGTTACATAGATCCAGGGTTTCTAGTCTGCTGTGGCTGATCAGCTTGCCAAGAGCTTGTGCCCCGTGGTCCCCGATGAGATTGTGGGACAAGTCCAGCTCCAGCAAGCAAGGGTGATACTGCAAGTTACGGGCCAGGAGCTTGATCTTGTCATCATCCACTTTGCTTCGTGTCAGCTTGAAAACCTGTGGGCATAAAAACCAGGGTCACTACAACAGCCAATGCTTTGGATGGAGCTTTGTACAGGATCATCACGGAATTAAACCTATGTTCCACCAGACAGGATTCATCTCCCTTCACTTCAGACACTGTTAGCTAGCAGGCCAAGTAATTGCTTTCCTAGTGGGCAGATGCTTCCAGCAAGCAGGGCATGCCATGATGTCCCATGCCTATTCTAGGGAAAAAGGGTTTGCATCCTGGAAATGTCTGTTCCTATCCTCTGACTGCACAAGATCTCTAACTGGGGGCTAAATTAAAACAAGGTAAAGCTGTCCAAACGTCTGCAGCAACTAGCAGCAGAACCCACTCCAGATCACAGTTGAACCTGTCTGAATGAACATGGGCAGCAGTGGTAACCACAGCACAATGTCCTGTGTGGTTGGGGCATCTTAATAGCCACAAGAGAGCCATATTTCCCAAAGCATGCCAGTCTGTGGGGAGTTCATCCAGCTCACTCTGTCTCCACTCTGGATAGCAATGCCCACTGATGTTTTGGGGGGGCTGAGTATCTGCACTGCCACAGAGCTGAAGATACTGTTAGTGCTTAGGAGGAAAATCCCTCATTGCTCTAAGGCAAGTATGAGTGTTTCCCCACACTGATCTTGGAGGCCTTTGCTCCTCTGGGAGAGGCTGACATGCATTTACTGAGCAAGACTACCAAAAACTCCTTATGAGATTTTTTTTCAGGACTAGGCCAGCAGGTTAACATCTCTGTACTCTGACAGGGTCTGTAACTTGCAAAAGATAAGGTGCTACCAGCAAGCAAAACTGGTCCCTGTATTTCTATCCACAGACAATTTGAAGATCTAGCTGAGGGAGTAAGGTTCAGTTTGGGGTATATTACTTTCAAGTTACGGCACATCTTCACTGCAGCAGCCAAGTTGGAGCAGTCCAGATCAGTGAAGTTAAAGAGGCTCCACTCGAAGTTCATGCCACAGCTCTTCACACCGTAAGTGAGATGAAGCTCTTCAAGGTGAGGGAGATCAGGAATGAGATCTTTCAGGTCGTAGTGATGCATGTAGACCTCGCCAAGTTCAGCATCATCTTCTGTGTCAGAGAGGTCACTGCTCTCCTCCTGATCCACCCGCAAGGGGGGCAGGAACTGATCGATCTCCAGTTTCCGCACGTAACCTTTGCAGAGTGGGATGAGCTCTAGGACCTGGTTGGGGTCTGTAGTGTTAGGGATGAAAAACTTCAGAATGTTCTCCAGGTGACGTTCAAAGAACATCCGTTTCCAGCTGTCTCCATAGTTGGAGACGTCACACACTTGCCAGCGCTCCATGCAGCACCTCTTCCAGTAGTCCTCATGGCTTACTATGTTGGCAGTCACAGTGAGTGGAAGGCTGGTGGAGAGCCTGTCCACCACCTTCTTTTGGTCCTCAGGCAGAAGACAGTTCAAAATAGGGTTCACTGGAAGAGATAAAAGAATGAGAGGTTGGTCTGGCCGTAGGAACAATTGCTGGCACTATGGTTCTGCCCGGGCCCCCAGCTGTGTGCCCATGCCCTCCCCTTGGATGATACTGGCTCTCTCCTCAGTTGCCAGAGGCTGGAGCACAGAGCAAAGTTGGCAGAAGACATGTAGGATTCATTTGTACATTTCCATATATTATTTCTAACTTTTACAATGAAACATCAGCATAATTTGGTTTACTCTCATAATATTTGGGAACTACACCAGAAACTGAGCTCCCCATTTAAACTAAGTTTGAATGCAGTTTATATTCAAAGCAGGAATTCTGCTCCCAAGAGAACGAATTCAGCCTTACAGTAATAGGAGAGCTTGGCCTGCCATTTGCTGAACTTTCTCCCTTTTGGTTTCTAAGCATATTGAAGAACAGTATTTGAGAACAACTGTGTGCTTTTCATGCAGGTCCTTGTGCCTATTTATCTTAATTCAAGCATTGGTCTTACCTCAAATTGATTCCTGTTCCTTTTTGCTGAGGCACACTCCTAGCTTTTAGGTCCACCTTGTTTAAATAAAAGTTATGTTTTCCCAGGTACTCTTTCCCCTGAATCTCTTTCCCTAAGTCTCAGCTTCTCTGGTGAAAGTTCTTTGTGGCAAGAAATGCCAGAGAAAAGCCACATGTACTCACACCATGAATATTTGGTTATGTGTAAACAGTTGTGTTGAGTAACATAAATCATCAGTGGAGAAACCTATCTGTGCATGGGAAACCAGATTATGAAACACAAAGTGGGGTTAGCTTTATATTTCCCCTGTTTCTGGGGCATTCCCTTCCTAAGGACACTGACAGTTTCACCATAGCCTCTTCCTGCAGTGTCCCACAGCTGACACTGCAGTGACCTTCTCTGCAAAGTCCCACGACACAAGCAGAGGTGGGACACATGGGCAGGGCTGGGCTAGCTTCACTCAGGCTCACTCAGGCCCCACTGTGGGCAAGGTGCAGGCTCACAGCTCGGGTAACAGCATGAGGGTCCCCATGAAAATGAGCACGCTGCTTTTATGGGTGCACAATGGAGGTCCGATGCATTTGGCATCAAACTGACTGATCAGGCTGCTGGGACTGCAAGGTTGTCCCAGCTCAGACCCTCAAGTACCATCAGCTCCTGGCATAAGGCAGCGCTGAGCTCCTCTGTACTGTCTGACAGTCCCAGTGTGGACATAGCCTTAAAACTATCTTTGGTCTTTGCTGCCACTTCACTGAGTCAGCCAAAAAGACAGGTAGGCCCTTCTTTTCCCCCTCCCAGTCAGTTCTCAGATGACATGCTTCTTCTGTTTTGCTGTGTTTCATCAGTCCACCTGCTTCAAAAGCACATTCCCTGCCTGAGGATATAACTTGTCACATCACCACCAAAAGCCATGGAGGAGGGCTGAGCCTGTGAGTACAATACTGAGAGGATAGCTCCTCTGGGCAGGGAGCAATGCTCCATCTCTTTGTACAGCACTCAGTACAACAGGGCTCCATCCTCGAGCGCTACCCTAATGTCTGTATGAATCAAGAGCAGGAAACAGCAACTGCACAGCCCTGGTCATGGTTGAGGTGAGGCCAGAAGAGCATGGATGGAAGAAGATGTGATAGAACAAGGTCAGTACAGAGTCACATCCTGGACTGCAGCCTAGAGGTCTACAGCCAACCCTGGAGTCTACAAATACATACTTAGCAACTAAACAGTTTGTTTAACTGGCTGCCCAAGGGGATATTTCTCCCCATCTGTTCCTTTGGCAGGGCTGCATGCCACACTGCCTTTCCGATGCATCTGCCTGCCTTGTTGACTCTGTGCTCCCTGGGACTGACCCTCTCTCCATGAGTCCTAGAGTAAATGAGCTCCCACTTACTTTGGAAATTGTGAGCGATGTGCTGGAGGCAGAGCTCAGTGAGGTGGGGGACAGTGACCAGGGACCAGCTGGGATCCTCAGTGATGCAGCGGCGTGTGTAGAAGGAGCCATCAGCAAGGCTGGCCTCAGGTGGACATGGTGAGGGAATGGCTCTGCTCTTGTCAGCAGCTGCTGGCTGCTGCATTCTTGCTCAGGACCTACTTCTCCTTCAGGAGAAGCAAGGGGAAAATTCCTTGAGAGTCACCACTACGTGGTTACCTGCAAAAGAAAATGGTAGCTTTAGGAAGAAGCCAGCAATATTAATGGTCAGCTCACACTGCTCTCCTGTAACACACTTGCCCTTTGCCTGCCTCTGCTTTGGACTGGAAGCACTGCAGCCAAACAACTATTACTCAGCCTCATCTTTATACCCTGCCCTGTGCAAAGAGGTCTCTAGGCACCACATGCAATAAGGAGATAACAACGTGGTGTTAATTCAGAGTGCTGTTGAAGAGGATGGACAGGAATTGATTGTTTACTGTCTTTTCCAATAAAAGTGATAGGGGAAGCTGGCAGGAGCTAGGCTTAAAGCAAAGGGTTCTTCACACAGGCTGCAGTTGAAGTGGGGAATTCCTTGCCACAGGATGCTGTGGATGCTAGGAGTCTGTGCAGACTCTAAGAAAAGTCCGTGGAAGAGAAACCCTTTGAGAACGATGAAATACAGAAGTCATGTGGCTCAGTGTGAGCAGAGGAACACAGCTGGAGGTGGAGAGAGTGCTGGAGGAAAGAACACACACTTGCATTGTTCTTCTACTCTTCTCCAGGTGTCTGCTTCTAGCCACTGTCAGAGATGGGGTTTGGGCCAGCTATCCCCTGGTTTGATTCAATATGCCTGTTCTTATGACTCTCTAAAGACAGATGCTTTACAGAGGAATACATTATAAGTGTATTCTTTTCCTGCTTTTCTCCATTATTCTCTGGCTGAACTCCTTCCAAATATCCATTAACTGATGAGATGGGTCAGACCTGTACAGACCACACTGAGCCTAAGCATATGAGCTAAAAGCCTGGAGCAGAAGGAAGGATGTCTGGTCCTATTAACTTTGCAGAGCTTTCCTTTTCCATTTGCTGTTTCCTATTCCAACCTCAAGGCCAGTGCTCTCAGAATCCCACATGTATGGTTATTGCCTGGAAGTCCTAATGATTCTCTAACCAGCCAGTCTGAAAGAGGCAGAAGAGACACCAGGAAGGAATCATCCACTTAAATTCAGGGTTCCACAAGAGCATTTAGGTGTGATAGCATCCCCCAGGGCATACAGACCCATGTTGATCCTTACTGGGGCTAACTGGACTTAACAGAGCTGCAGCACAGGGCTGGGCAGTTACAGGCTGCAGGACACCTGAAAGAAACACGAGGCAGAGGTGGATGGCAATGTCAGAGGTGAGAACACCTTCCTGCAAGGTGCAAGGTGCAAGGGCAGTGGTGGCCTCGCACCACCATAGAGTCAAAGGATCCTGTGGAAGGATAATTTCCATGTAGTATCTTTGGTCACCATATCCCTCACCTGAAGGGTGGTTTGATCCCAACCAGCTCCTCCTTTGTGAGGGATATGACCCAGACAGTGGTCCCTAGATGAACCATCTTAGTCCTTCCTTCCCTTGCACCAGGTTGCTCCTTTCACCTCTGCCTTCCCAGCTGGTGCTGCTTCTGTCAGCACTGCCCTCTCCCTAAAAGCTTTGGAGCTGGCTTTGCCAGTGTTACTCCCTCTGCTGCTTCCCCCTGCTCCACCAAAAGGCATCTGAGGAAGGGCCTGTAAAAGAGGGAAGAGAGGAGATCTGTGAAATACTGTGGTCTTGAAGAGAGGAGCAAATTATTCATGCTGCAAATATGCCAGCAAAGGCTTCTTCAAACGTACTTGAGGCAGGCATGGAAGTGACAGTCAGGAAAGGGTAGGGATGGCAGTGGCAGGGCATTCTCTGGCCCAAAGCAGGAGGATGAAGGGTGCCAAGGGCAGGGAAGCTGTATTTCCTGGGAGGCAGTAGTGTACAGATGACAAAGGTAAAGGCTGTAGAAAATGATCTGATGGAGGATGGATGTGGAAAGAGAAAGAATGAGTAGTAGGAAGTTCTGAGGATGGACTGGGGGTCCTTTCCCTGCAAAGGTCCTTGTGCCCTATGGAAAGTGCTGTGATGATGGGCCACCTTTCAGTGGGAAGAGAAGAGATCTGATTCTCCACAGCACACTAACCTAGCTGAGGCCCAGCTCCTGGTGCTCGATGGACTTCAGTGGAAGGGCAAAACACAGCTAGAAGGCAGTGAGGTGGCATTAATAGAAGTGCCTGGAAAATTGTTTTCTCCTTGCTCAGTCCTTCGTCCTATTCAAAAAGCATCTGTATCATTTTGTCCCCCAGGCCAATCACAGCTGATTGGAGCTTCTGATGGCTTTCCTGACCTTTTGGAAACAATTATTAAAGGCCAGCTGTTGGGGAGAGCCAGTGCAGCATTGGTGGCCTGGGATTATTTCCTGTCTGTTCCAGCAGATGATCAGATTGCGTGTTTACCCATGGCAGATTGATTTTCAGTGGGTAGGTAACCCATGGCACATGCAGGGCTGCTGAATGGGCTCCAAGAGTAGGGGCAGGAGACACAACTACTGTGAGGCAAAGCTGCTCAGGCTGCTTAGAAGCTTTCCCTTGATCTGAGCCCCAGAGCAGTCAGCTCAGCTGACCCCACCATGCCCACTTGTCATTCACTACGAAGCCAACAAGAGCAAGGCTGCAAAGCTTCAAAATCAACCCATGCCTGTGGTGCCAGGTCTGACACTGAGCTACTGCTCTCAATACATCCATTCCCACCACACCAGCGTGGTGAACACACCTGCCAGGTGCCCCTGTCACCAGGCCACCTTCACTGCTCACCCCCTCTGCCTCAGCTGCAGGAGTCTCACCCAGCCAGAGCTGGGACTCTAAGCCAGTTTCCAGAGCTAGGTTTGCTAAGCACATATTTAAACACACTGCAATTCTCTATCAATAAACCAAGTCAACACTGCTAATGCATGCTCCTTCCCACCCACTCTACATACACATCAGTCACCTATCCTAAAAAGACTTTATTAGACAATATACAATGAACAGAGCCATGTAGTAAATTCCCAGTTTTTGTCATTTAACACCTAGATCAGACTGAAAAATAAATAATGCTAGAACTTCTTAAAAATATAAAGGAAATCACACTTCCCTTCCCCAGGAGGAATTGACAGAAATCTACTCACACAACCAAATTATGCTACTACTAACATGCCTAACAAATCTTCTTCAGCTGAACCTGTTTTGATCTGGAAATAAAAGATTTTTGCTCTTTTCATTCACACCAAATCCCAGAGAGACCAAAAAAGAAAAGCTGCATTGAAACTGGTGACCTTTGGCTGATGCTCCTACCAGCATTACAGAGATCCAAGAAATGGAACAACTGTAAACACTGTGCTCACTGGAAAGCTTGTAAGAGCAGGATAAATTATTTCTGAGGGTGGTTATGCCCCAGCCAAGACTGCATTTGCACTGAAACCCTGTCTGCCCATTAATTGAGGAAGCACTTAGGCCACTGCAGCAGCACCCTGAAAATTCCAGTTGTTCTGCAGGTGTGCTGACCTTAATGCTGCTACCTGTAGTCCAGGCAAGTGATCCTGAGTCTGGCTAACACCACTGATCCCACTGACACCTGTGGGGACCTGCCATGCTCTGTGGCACTTCCAAAGACTAATGCTAAGTGTGCATTAGGACATGGTGTTGAAAGCTAATCCAGGGTCTGAGACACTGCAATGGGCTTTAAGTGAGTTTAAAAAAAAAAAAAAGCCAAATGAGGAATCTATTTAGCTTCGGGTATAATGAAATTTGTCTGTAATGGGAGATTGGGCAGAGTGAGGCCAGCTGGCCGTTTGGGAATTTGGTTAATGTCACCACGGTAATCCTGGCGGTGTGAAGGGCCAGAACTGTGCTCCTGGATCTCTGTCAGCATGACCTGGGAAGGGCCACTGCCCCAGTGAGATGTCAGAAAAACAAAAGCCCTTTCGGACCTGAGCAGTGCCCACCGCAGCCCCGGCTCTGCCGTGCCACTCCCGGCGGCTCGGCTCGGGGTCCCTTCCCTCGGGAGACAAGGAGCACGCCTGGATGCTGCTGAACGCCGCGGCCCCCGCCAGCCCCACCAGCCCAGCTCCATGGGATGCCGGCCCTGCTCCCCGCTGCCAGCCAGGAGACCCGAGAGGGAGGGAAGGAAGGAAGCTCCATAGCGCGGCCGCTTCGTTACGAGTCAGACCTGCGAACCGCCGGGGAGCCGCGGGCGCTGCGTGTGCCCAGCCCCGGCACCGGGGAGGAAACGCGCGGGGCGCTCCCGACCCTGGGCCTGCGGGACTCGGCTGCCGGCTCTGTGCTGCTGCTGCTGCTGCGGGGCAGGAACCGGACCGGGACCGGGACCGGGACCAGGACCGGGACCGGGACCGGGACCAGCCCGGCCCCGCGCTCGCCACCGCCGCTGTCTCCACGGACGCGGCCGTTGCCGGGGCGGGGCTCCCCCGGCCGGGCACGCCTGGGGCTCGTGGGGAGCCGGTCCCGAGCCGAGCCCACGCAGGGCGCTGTCACAGGGCCTGCACACTGCCAGGGCGTGCGGGGCGGCGAGAGCCAGCAGGAAGGCAGAGGGACGGGATTTGGGATGGCGCTCCCCCAGCACCCCGCCCCGCTGCTGCTGCTGCTGACAGGTAGTGCCGTGGTGAGTAGGAGCCCCCTCTTCCAGCACAGAGGAGATGTGTGAGCTCACCGCCATGCTCCACGAGTGCTGGGTGGGGGGGCATTTGCCGAAGTCCCGGACACTCCTGCACACACAGCAGCTGCTGTGGCATCATGGAAAGAATGGAGCACGGTGTGCAATGCGAATGGTTCGGTACCAGTCAGTATTCAAAGGGGGAATACATTGCTTTTCTCAAGACACCCGTTTCGTTGCATGTTTGTATGGCTAAAGGTAAGCTGTGTGTGCCTGAAACGGGCTTGCTTCGAGGCCTCATATTTTGGGGCAGAACGACATCACAGGTAGATCCGAGCGGGAGGAAAGCAAATCTGAGAACTCCATTGATGGCAAGAAGATCTTGGTCCATCTGCTGCATGTTCGTCTCTTCTTGACCTGTTCGTTTTTCATTCTGCTTCCTCTACAGAGGTG